AATTCACTCTGCTACTAAGCGTTTCAAATATAAACGTGGCCTCGTTAGGCCCAGCACCACTTAAACTTTTAACCTTCTGAGCGGCCAGGGTTTTCGCTAAGAAACCACAAATTTCGCAAAACTACTATGAGAACAAATTATTTGTTTGATTTTAATGTAAACCTCTCCTGGTACTTCATATCTGGATTTGTTTTCTTTTGATGATATATTGCCTTAATTTCTTTGACATATTTTATTATGCACGTATATATACGTTCTTAGAGATATGACAAAAATATTCTAGGTCGTATGTATACGGCCTTGCCGCTTAGAAGGTTTTAAACTGTTGATAATTCGACAAGTGTTCCGTGCAGATTAAATAAAGGGAAAAGCTTTAATCAGAACAAAACAACATCATAATTCAGTCATTTTTAAAGCATAAAATGCAAAATTTACCCACCTATAAGAATAAAAAACAAAGCTTACCGAAACGGATAAGAAGGAGGTGTATGTACGTACGTTTGGTGGGGCTGACTGTAACAAAAAAGGGAGGTACGCAACTAGATGTTATAGCAGTCCCATATACAAAATTTTAACGTTCTGTGACAAATCTTTTTTGAATTATGCGTAATATATACATGTGTTTAATTTCATATTCTCGTACATACGTACAGACATCACGAAAAAAACCCTTCTCATTCCACTTTACAAACCGTTTTGGAAAAAAAAAGAGTCCTTTATTCTATCCGTACGTGCGGTTAAATTGGATATCTTCGTTGAAATATGATGCTCGAAATTTTTCGAGGTAACAATACCTCCTTTACTTCGTACATGGAAGTAAAATACAAAGAAGAAGTGACTTTTATGAACATCAATTAGAATCATGCAAGAATAACGCAGTTTTATCCAAGTCAACCAAAAGGCGGTATTACAAGATACCATGGATTTTTTATCTCAAGTTCTTATAAGTCTGCTGGTGAGAATTTGGTTTTGAGGATACCGACAGAAATATTTAGCAGGGATGGGATATACAGTACTTAATTTCCACTAATCATTAAGAAATATCGAAAATTCGAAATGTCGAATCTTTGTTTTTTTTTATTCAAAAATTTAAAAGTTTTATCGAAGTCCAGCAGAAGCCTTTTTTAAAGAAATAAAAGCAATTATTGCAATTTCAGTTCTATCTGAATGATTTCGTGGTGGGCGTGAATGACATATCATAAATGAAAATTTATGAACTGTTAAAAAGAAGCAGGTTTTCTATTTTTACTACTTTTGTGAAGCGAATCCGAGTTAAATTACGAAATTCGAACTGTTATGTCTTCTCTTTTCTCTCTCTCTCTCTCTCTCTTTTTTTTTTTTTTTTTTTTTTTTTTTTTTTTTTTTTTTTTCCCAGGAGCCCACCAGCGGCCGAGCGGTAAAGTCCCTGAACACTGGTAGTTCGGTCCGAGGTTCGAATCCCGCGAACCGGGCTGGCTGCATAGGTGTTTTCGTGGTTTTCCCCATGTGTAACGTGTATACGAGCCATTTTCCCTTAGAAAGTCCTCCACGAAGGCATCCCTCCCCTTAGGCAGATAGCCTTACTGTGCTTTGCCATAATAAAATACACACATACACACAGATTTTTTTTTTCCAGATTACTTTTAATATGAGGTGAAAGCTTTCTTTAAATTTCTTTTTATTATTATTATTACTATTATTAAATGAAAGGTTCGAGATTCGTTTATAATTCAAATTCAAGACTGATCATACTCTTACAATTTGCAATATCAGGATTCTTAAAATTAAGTTTCTCGTAAATGAATTACTTTTAAAACCATTATATTGAAGATGTTCAAAACTACTGACAAATATTTATTTCAGCTTCAACCTAATTTCAGCACAATATGAATGCAAATTGAGATCACTAAGAAGTGAACAACGAAAAAAAAATTGTTAAATTTTCATCAAACAATAAGGTTTATATGATTTGTGATAACCCCTTTTTCTAAAAGTCACAATAATACAGAATAAAGTCAGATTTTCAATAACTTCCTTATCTAAAAGTTACAACAAATGAATTACTGTATACCACTTGTAAAATACCACATTGCATATTATCACAGAAGAAAGTTAAAAGCTTTAAAAAGCTTATCTGTCCTTAATCAGACCGATTATGTTATACGCAGTGCCAGCATGGGCGACAGCCAACAAGACTGAGCGTGCTAAACTAGACATAATACAAAATAAAATACTTAGAGCGATTGTGAACTCACCGTGATTTATAAGGAACTCTCAAATTCAGGAGGATCTGAATGTGAAGGCCATGCATGAACAAATTTTGATCACTTCACATAATTTCTTTGAAAGCCTTAGAACCTATTCCTACGCTTCTATTAGAAGCCTGTGCGATTATGACCCTACTGTTGAATATGTGGTCAAAAGGCCCCGCACCATACATCACAACCCGTCTTGGTAGTTGTATTTATGTAGTTTTCAGCTTTTTTCTATGTTTTACAATTACGACTTTTGTTATTTTTGAATGCAACATTTGCCACCACGACCAGGAATGCCAGTCCCAAGCTCTGAAAGTTTTTTACGCCTCCGGGTGACAGATGTACCTAAAGTACATCTCTTTTACACTCATGTCCATAAATTAAGGATAATGCAAAATCAGGCAAAGGAAGAGATGGAAGCAAAACAAATTTGACTTATTTATAAAGCTTATTTATTAAAAAAAAGGTAAAGAGCAAAAAAACATGTTATATGTTTGATATTATTAAAAAAATTAGCGATTTTTTTTCTCCCTGGAGCAAATTACCAAAAAAAAAAAAAAAAAAAAAAAAACTTATTTACAAAAAACCAATATTACATGGTTGGTTTGATTGTTAATACATTGTATGTCTCCCAGACGATGCAATACAGTCCGTACAACGCCTAGGCATCTGAGTATCAAATTATCGATCTGATCTTGGGGGATATTACATCACTCAAAAAGCAATGCACTCCGAAGTTCCGGTAGACATGTAGAAGGAGGTTGACGGGCTGCAACTCGTCGGCCAAGCATGTCCCACACGTGTTCTACTGGTTCAAGTCTGGTGAGAATGCTGGCCAGTCTGTACGGGTGATATCCTCCGATTGAAGGCATTCGCTTACGATATTTGCACGGTGAGGACTGGCGTTGTCATCCATAAACACAATTGTGTGCCCATGGCACCCCGAAACAAATGTACATGTTGTTCCAGAATGACGTCCCGATAGATATGGCTTGTCATGATTCCAATTTGAACATGAAGGTCAGTTCTGGAACCCAGAATAATTCCACCCCAAACGAGCACTCCTACACCACCGTAACGGTGTCGTTCAATGATGTTTCTTTTTGGTGGTAACGAATACCTGGAGCTATCCATATGAAAGGCCGGCGAGAATCAGACTGCAAGCTGAACCTGGACTCGTCGGAATACATCACACAAGCCCACTGTTGCGGTGTCCACAATGCATGCTCTCTACTCCAGGCTAACCGCAGGAGGCATGCTCTCTACTCCAGGCTAACTCACAGGCGACAGTGAGTTGCAGTAAGTGGAACGCATCTGACAGGTCTACGAGCATATAGACCAATCTGCCCTAAGCGTCTGTACACGGTCTGCCTTGAAATTGTCGTACCAGTGGCTGAAGAGAGCTGACGAGGCAGGTCTCAGGCTGTGCTCCACCTGTTTGTTTTGGCAGTAACTGCCAAATACCGGTCCTCATTCGCCGTTGTAACTCTGGGGACACCTGTGCTGTAACGTCTACTCACATTACCATCATCTTGGAATCGTTGCCAAAGTTTGGAGATGACCTTCTGGACGATTCCAAGTTCGTCTGATACTTCCAATTGGGTACGCCCACATTCCAGACGGCCGATAATTCTACCACGTAAAAAATCATCCAAATGCGTCCTTTGTGTCATAACTCTTCGGTTATTGCACTGAAATGTTTATAAAGCGCCTGCGAACAATTTTACTTCTTTGCCTGTATTCCTTATATATCACTCTCTTACAATGTCGTCATTGTGACGTACCATCGGTGTCATCTGGTTACTTCCTGAAATTTGCATATGATTCTTGAAGATGTGTGTAGTGATTTTACAGGTAATATATTTATTTTAGACTTCGATTTCCGAGTGACTCCGAATTATCCTTAATATATGGACATGAGTGTATTTTACTACCGTGATTGGCCTTTGGCAACTCTGAACTTTTGGTAATAACTCTATGTAGTTGAAACCAAGTGCGAGCGAAAGCAATTGGAATTGGAGCTTTAAAAAGCGGAAAAAAACATTGAATTATAAGTTTTTAATACAGGACTTAAAAGCAAACTCCAGTCTTAGGTCATCCACGCTTTTTATTAGATCATTCAAAAAGCTTCTTTGTTGTATCTTTTGAAAACTCCAAGGTCTCTGGACAAGAAAAGTAGTTTCAGTTTAAATTACTCTTTGCTCAAATTTTTCAAATTATTGAGAAGCACACGATATTAAGTTCCTAGTAAAACTTTTAATGCAACATTTATTTCAATAAAATAAATAAAGTTTTAGCATCCTTATTGAGGTAGATAACACAAATAAAATTGCTATAAAATTTTCTATTTCAGTAAATCTCAATTTAGTAACTGAATAATATATAACAAAATCTTTGCATTATTGTTAGTTTTAAACTTTAAGTCATTGTTCAATCTTTTGCAACTGTAGTCATTGTACAGTCTTTTGCAACTATAGTCATTGTATAGTCTTTCGCAATACCTTGAATTAAATACAGGCCGCTTGGGTGTTTTGCTTAAATATTTATCACTCTTTTTGTACACCTTAACGAAAGACACATAAAAGTGATGTATTCACACAACTTTTTTATTTAAAAGAAAAATTACTCAGAAATCTTTACGAAATAAGAAACATGGGATTTATTAGAAATATTAAGGAAAAGTAATCCTCTATTTCCTTCCCGAGAGGGTTTCATTTTTATGTATTTTACTTAAATTTATTAACTAAAAAAAATAAAATTGTTTACCAAACATGCGTCTTTTCCACCTTCTCTGAGGCCAGCACAAATGACGTGATCACTACCCCGGGCCAAAAATGCCGCCCCCCGTACTCGAGAATAAGCAGCAAAGCATTCTTCACTGGATACGATGGGAACGGTCACATGTTGCAGAATCCGTGTACCACTGGTTCCTGCAATCATATATTTTCGTTATCGTTAAAGCGGTATTTTATTTCATAAAATATTTAGTTGGTTTATGAAATAACTGATAGTCAGTTAGCGTGTGTAGTAAATTAATAATTCCATATTTTAACTAATAATTTCATAGAATAACTGATACATTATCTATTAATAGACAGTTAAAGTGCAAAATAATTAATTTAAAGTATACAGAGTAAAAATGCTACCTGTAGAAAGATACAACCAGAGGGATTACTAAAATAGAAAATGAAAATGCATGAAAAAATATTTCTAAAACAAACATTTTTTGATAACACTCTGCATTACATGAACGTTTTACATGAATGTTTTTTTTTAATCCTACCAGTAACTAAATATTGAGCTGTGGCAAACGGCAGGAACGATTTTTTTATATTCGGGACCTCTCCGATTTTAATCAGTTTTTGTTCACAGGTGCTGAACTAGGATCGGGAATATAGCTATTTTATGCAGCCGTTTCGTTTTTCTATTTTTTAAAAAAAGACCGTTCAGTAGTTTTCATAATAATAACTAAAATAAGTCTAGCGTTATCTCTTCCTCTGTCAGCTTTATACACTCGGTAACAGAATGTAAGTCAAGCAGATGCCACAAATTCAATGCAATAAGATTTATCTCACATTATTTTTATCTTCTTTGCTTGAATTTCCAAGTGTTCTTCAGAGTTTTCTTTCTTCATACGACCAATTAATCCGTTTATTAAAAAAAACAATTCCCAGATCTTCCCTATAATTTTGTTTTATTTTAAAACGTAGTTTACTAAGTACAATATATCGACAGACGCATTGCATTTCGACAAACTATGTTTTTACTGCATTCTTGTGAATATCTAGACAGATTATTTTTATTTCTGAGCGGAAACAAGAAAAATCAGCAACGCCTTAGCCGGAATTCAGCCCTCTCGATTGTCAGCCAGACGTTCTTCCAATAACACCAGGAAGGCACGCAATGGAGGGAGAAAAATCCTTAAAAAATTATGCATACTTTAGTCGGCGTGGCATTTATTTAACATTATTTGTGGCATTACTCCGTGTGGCATTTGATTCATTTGCTTTCTGTGTGGCATTTAGTTATCCGCGTTTTCTTAACCAGCACACGTGATTATCAGATTGAGACGAAGTACTCATTGCAGTCAAAACACCTTGTAATTAGTCTTCGCCATGCAGTCAAACAAATAGTTTTTCTGGAAGAGGAGTTGCTGACAGTTCGTTAATACCATTACTATTATACAATACTTTATATTGGATTAGTGTGCTATTTCTGACAATTTTTTCTCACTCTCGTATCGCAATATATTATCAATACTAACAAGCGGGAGGAATCATGTCGATTATTTTGCACTTTAAACTGAGTGTAGATCGTTATTCTATGAATTAACTAGTTTAAATATCGAATTATTAATTTATTACGCACATTAAGTAATTTGGTCAGTTCTTTTATAAAATAACTAAATTAAATATCGAATTAATAATTTATTACGCACATTAAGTAATTTGGTCGGTTCTTTCATGAAATAACTAGTTTAAATATCGATTTATTATTACGCACATTAAGTAATTTGGTCGGTTCTTTCATGAATAACTAGTTTAAACACATTATTTATTAATTAATTGGTCAGTTATTTCAGTAAATAAATAGGCGCATTATGAAATAACGAATTTCAGGCCTTTAACAATAGTATAGTAATGTAAAGTAATTACTAAATTTATAAAGCATTCGTATGTTAAGGAAAGTTTAGTGAGAAATAAATGAATTTTTAAATTAATTCTTCAGTTTCGTGCAGTACAGGATATGACGATAAGGTCCAGTGAACGACATCATAGGATGTGCATGCGTGATAGCGGGCGAACGATGAACCGCAGGAAAAGATGCCCAACTACGTGTTTGAACATACCTGAGTATGACGTGGGAATAGATATTAAGAATTCTGTTAGTAATACGTCAACATGCAACGGTGTTAGGGGCAATGACTGTAAAACGAAGCAACGAACAAATTTCTAGTTTTATTCCAAACTTGATAAATCGGCGGAAGGAAGTCGTGTGGAGGTGAAGCATCTCTCTGAAATATTTTTATTAGTAGTTTAAAGGTTTCGGTGTGAAAGCTATTTCACTGCCTACCGCCGCTCGCAGTGGTAGGTAGGGCTACGACTTCCTGTACTGACGAAAACATTGAAGATGAGGTTAGCCAGAAGGTGCAACGATGAATGCTAACACGTTATAAAGTATTTTCTCCCGCCTTTCCTCATGCCTTCGTGATGTAATTGGAAGCATAGACGACGCATATTCGGGAGAACCGGAATTCAATATCCGGCGAGGGCACTGCGCATTTGTCACGTCTCCTGCTTCAAAAAAAAAAACTAAATGACTCTACAGCGTACAAGAATGCTCCGTCAAATTTAGTACAAAGAATCTGTCGTGTGCATCCCGAATATGCTGAAGCTGGTCCTTGGTTATTTGTTTATGATAATGCCCGGCTATATTCGGTCTCCTCTGCGAAACAATCTATGGCTTGCAAATGAATTTTAGCTCTCGATCATCCATCATATGTATCTGATCTTGCTCCAGCAGAGTTCGTTTTGTTCCCGCACCTGAAGCAAGAAAAAGGAGAACAATGCTTGGATGTTTCAGACATTCAAAGCTGTATAATGAGATTCTCCGCATGACAACAATGGGACGTTTCTCATAGTTTTCAAGAACTGCACATCCATCGCAAACAACAAAGTCCATTGCAAATAACGGACGCTCTTCCGAACGAACGTTTTTTTAGAGGGATATGAGTAAGAATCATTTGTTTATGAACACTTTTCCCCAAACTTTATTATAATACAATATAGGAGGCAAAGCTAATTTCAAAGCTCGAGGAAAACGCACAAGCAATATATTTCTGATACGAAAATAGTTCCAGGAAATTTTTTATGAGAAAAGTTTCAGTTGCTACAGATCTTAAAGAGTATTATTATATTATAGACCAAAAACTAAAGAAAGAACGATCAGATTACTAATAACGGGCAACAAGAACGGGTACAACGTGAGAAAATTTGCAAGACTATAGTTTCGAAGGCTAAATAGATCCTTCTTCGTCAGCTGTGGGACCCATAACGGCGAAAAGGAAATATATGCTTCGTTGAGAGTAACACAGAGTAAATGCTGAAGGTCCTAGCTAAATGGCAGAAAAACGAAGCAACTGGCTCTCATTTGTTATCCGAAATGTGAACGAAAAGCAATTAGGAAACGAATTTTTGAAAACTTCACTGTAAAGAAATTTAAATTTTAGATCACTGACTAGAGTTCAAAGATTTTTTTTTTACTAATGTGAAACGCATCCAAGGAATTTAATTTGCTTCAGAGAAATTGACAATATAATTTTTTAATCAAAAGCGATTGGCAGTTGAAGATTTATGAGAGTTTTTTTTCCGATATAATTCTCACGCTCTTCAGTGCTAAATTTAAGGATTTTCTTCTCGGATGTATGCATATGCATATTATGCCACACTGGCAAGGAATACTAGAGTTTTACTCTGGGAGTTTATATCAGAAATGGAGCTTTTGAGTATAGAATTATAAATTTTACGATATGAATGTTAAATTTGTGCAAAATATGAATATATTTATAACTAATCTCTGGAAAGAATGGGAAAAATACTGAGTTTTCACAATCAATCAAAAAAAATTTAGTATGTTACATTTATTTAAGTTATTGTTACATTTACATAAGTTATTGTTTTGTAAAGATACGAACACTTTTTAACTGCGGGTTGGATTCAAATCCCGGAGAAGGCATAAATATTTGTAAATGTATGGTAACTTTGCGGCAGGGATACGTAAAATATCGTTAAGACGAAAGTCCCGTCGAGAGGTTGTTGGTAGCAAAAGAGGGGTAGCAATGCTTGCTTCCATTCCCCCATCAAAATTAGGGAGGAACTAGGAAAAGATGTAATTTCACCTATGAGGTGTATAAGGCCTTGCGAATGACTTAACAGCTGTATACTTCTTAGTTATGAATAATTAGTGGACTAGCTGCAAGTTGATACATCAAGATCAGGAATTAGAAATGGCCGCTCACTGTTGTGAGGCTCTAAAATGATCTGTGATGGATAAAAACTCAAAAATGTTATACACATCGACTAAAAATTTATTCTAAATAATGCTTGGATGTTTCAGAAACAGCAGATATAAATATCAAATAAATATTTATTCAAAATAATTTTCTCGAAATATAATGCCTGAGATGTGTAAAATAATGTTATTTGATAATGATAATTACTCACGAACAATCACAGACAAAGATTTATAACATTATTCATATATCTAATAGTATGAATAACACGTTGGTCACCTGTTGTTAAAAATTTTAATTTTAATCTTCGCTGTATAAAATCTGTATGCAATTTATACAATAATTCGTTTTTCTCCTTTTCTTCTTTTTATTTCAAATTTTTGGATTTGCTCAACAGATGGCGAAATGCATTTTGTGTTCATTACATTTAAGGCGATAAAATACTTTCACGTGACTCGAAAACATTTGTTCCTGAAGGTGAGAGAACACGCAATCACTTGTTCCGAAATGCATTGCGCTTTTGCGGTTGAAATTAACTTCAATCTAAGAACGAATTTTGCTCATTTTTAAGACTCATCTGCATATCTTACATTATTTAAGTTATTGAGCGTTATAGAATGAACTTCATGAATGAAAGTAGACTGTGGAATGTAAGAAACAGAGAAACATTTCGTAGTTGTCAGTGCTTTTCATACGTAACCTTAACTGCTTATTATTTTGTAAACAAGTCCAACTGAAGATATTTTACTTTTAAAGTTTTGTCTAGCTTTCGACAGGAGTTTCCAATTAAATGAATTTACAGATTAGCTGAGTGACTGAATATGATAAATACACATACACTGGTGTGCAAAAATTAAGAACGAAGTCGAAAAATTAGCATACCAGCTGAACGAAGAGGCAGAGCGGACAGAAAGACCAATCAGGAGATTAAGTAAGGTGATGTACGGTAGCACATGCGCAGATATGCAGGTAGACGTAATGGCGGGAGTGTCTGAGTAGTAGTATAAAGCATGTTCATGTCGGTGTGTAAGATCAGTATTTTCTGGCAAAGAGATTGCACGCCGTGTAGCAGTTAAAATAACACCGTGTTGCTGCCTCAGCGAGAAATGGCGAATAATCAATCTGTTAGACGGCATCTGGATGCTTTTACCCGAGGTCGAATCATTGGGAAGTTGGAGGAAGGCCGCAGTGTGACAAGTGTGGCTGCAGAGTTCGGAATTGCTCACAGCATCGTTTCACGACTTTGGAGACAATTTCAAACTACAGGAACAGCTATCCGGGGGTTTAGTAGTGGTCGTCCACGAGGAACCACACCCGCAGAGGACCGGTATATTGCCTTACAGTCCAGAAGAAACAGGCGGCAGATAGCGGGAGAAAGAAAGGAGAAATCGCTAGACACACGACACAGGCGACTGGACGACCGATATCGCGTTTTACCGTGGCCAGAAGACTGCACGGTTGGTGGTCTGCTTTGCACGACGCCCTGTACGGTGTGTACCCTCTAACGCCTGCCCATCGGAGAAGGCGTTCTCTGTGGTGCCGGGAACACCGGAACTTGGAGAGACAATGAATGGGAACGAGTACTCTTTACAGATGAGAGCAGATTCAGTCTGAGTAGCGATTCTCATCGCATACTCATCTGGAGGAGCGCGGGAAGCCGCAATCATCCCTCGAACATCATTGAAAACGGACAGGTATGGAGGTGGCGGTGTTCTCGTTTGGGGGAGGCATCATGCTTGGTAGTCGTACAGACCTTCACATCTTCGACGCAGGTTCAGTCAACGGGACCCGTTATTGTAACGAGATTCTTCTTCCATATGTGCGTCTTTTTAGAGGCGCTATGGGTCCGCAGTTCCTTTTCATGGACGACAATGCACCATGTCATCGCACAGTAGCTGCCGAACAGCTCTTAGAGAGTGAGGATATTGAACGTATGGATTGGCCGGCACGATTTCCGGATCTCTCAATCCCATCGAGCATGTATGGGATTTTCTAGGCAGACGCTTGGCAGCTCGTACCTTACCACCAGTAACGATTCCGGAGCTTCGATTGGCGCTGCAAGACGAATGGGCAGCAATGCCTCAATAACTCATTGACACCCTCATTCTCAGCATGGGCAGACGTTGTGAAACCTGCCTAGCAGTCAGGGGAGATCATATCCCCTATTAAAGACCGGATGCTTCTTGCTGGACACCCATCACAGGGATGTTTCGGCCTTCAGTCGCATTGTGCTCCATGTTACTTCTTCAATAAAGCTTCTTTTTATCCCTCTGATTTCTCTTTTAGTAAGTGTTGCTTACATTACTCATGTCCTTACGTATTGGGGATCTTACGGTATTAAATGTGGGGATTTGGAAAGCTTTTGTACAAAGTTATATTGAAAAAACCGTCTCGTCCTTAATTTTTGCACACCAGTGTATATTGCTAAGAATATTCGAACAGTGTCAAAACAAGTGGTATTCAACAGTCCTGGTGCCTAAACGCAATTAGTAATTAGTGAGATTAGTAATGCTGAAAGATTTACTTTGTTTGGATATTTGTGAAGTATGAGTTAACTGAAAGAAAATGGAGTAGAAATAATGATAAAAATTTTAAATTGATTGTAGAAATCAAAATGATACCAAAGAACACCACTTACTGAAAGCTGTGTCACCCCATCCGGCGACCGTTGCCATCCTTCCAACAAAATTTTCCCTGATCATTTCCGGAAATGGCAAACATATGGGAGCAATCTTGTCAGTTACATATACTTCGCTGGCCAGTCTTACCAAAGCTATGTCATTGAAAAAATCGGAACCGCTGTGATTGTTATGGATGACCAAACTGGCGACAGTGTACTCTTCACCACTGTTCAGGTAATGGGAGCCCAAACGCACCACGAAGGAAGACGCAGGCCTAATGAAATGAAACCAATTATATATCAATAACTTTATATAATATAGTTAATATACTTTATATAATATATAATTAATAAATAATACAAGGGTATCATAAGTACACCTAAAGTGAGCCAAAAAAAAAATAAATAAAATTTGGCTTGCTGATATTGTTAGGAATATCCCGTTTTTTCTAGTTATATTTTTTTTTCTGAGGTGCACAATAGAATGTGCTACAGGTCCACTGAAGTAAATCTACAGGCACACTGTAGAAATTCTTGTTAATGTTGTGCTTTCCTCCCAATAGCAGTGACAAGTAAGTGAAGAAAAAAGCCGCCAAATATAGCAAGATGGTGTTAACCCCGAGTCAAAGAGTTTTTTTCGTAAAGCAAAGCATAATCCCTTTAAAATTGTCAAAAGGAATTTGACGCTAAATTTTATGCTGCACTACTAACCAAGGCCACTATAAGCAAACATACTACAACATGGCACCGGATTATGCTAAAAAGGACTGGTCTGTGGCTGCAAAACAGAATTCCAATTCCATTATCTGTAGTAATGAGATTGGTCTCATATATGCCAAATGCAGTATATTAATACTATGTCCATATTACGTATACACTAATAAAAGTAGTGCTCTACTGAAATTCAATCTGGGTAATCTTTTATTTTACAGATCCAGCTAGGATCAGCCCACATGCTGTAATAACTTTTTGATATTAAGTGATAACCATTTGTTAGATCCCATTTTTCATGATTCCAAGTACATAATTCGGAAAACGTACACCGCAAAATTTTGCTTAAATGCAGTTTAAGGAAAGTTCGCGGAGATCTCATGCAATGCCGAAGATCATGGCTACCAGCAGCTGGCATATAATGCCCGTACTTCCATTTCAGTTCTTCAAATGTAATTAACGAAACATCTCAAATTCCAGGAAAAACTGGAACTCCACCTGGCAAGCGTTCCTGTAAGTCGAGCAAATGCATTGCAGAAACAAAATGGTATATAGGATGATTTTAATGAATGGAGCTTGTGTAATTTCACAGATCCAGCTAAGAATTGTTAATAATTTGAATGAATCACAGATTCATTCGCATCTATTGAATCGTATTTATCGTAACGTATTTAATTCGTATTTATCGTAACGTATTTATTGCTTTTAAATGGCTTACTTTGTTATTTAGTAATATAATAAGTTTGAAAGAAAAATTAAACATTTTATACTTTACTGAACGACAAAACAATGCCACGGGGAAAATAAAAATATTTTAATCCGGGGACTGGCAACTTATTTTTCCTAAATCGCTATTTGTTAATTAAATACGCAAATTACGCACATTGTTTATTTGTCTTTGTAATTCATGCAAATCTACAGTTTTCTTCCCATTTTAATAAAATTTTGTACGCTTGACATTCAAAACAAAAGGAAAGTCACTGTCGTCACAAGATTTTGAAAAACCATCCCAGTAGTAGACCCATGTTCATGCTGGTATTTATATTAGAACGCTGAGCTCACGACACCCATCTTAGGTTCACGTTTCCTCCGTTTCGTTTCTGCTGCCAGTGGCAATCATACATACTACGCTAGGACTTTGTAATTGTTTTTTTTTATGAAAAATACACATTAATTTTTCTACACAGTTTCAATTTTCAAATCATGTCATTCAGTTTCACGTCGCAGTTATTACTTCCCCGCTGACTGTGTAAGGATCCTAAGTTTTACTAACGTTTATTTTATTTTAAATCTTTACTATCACTTCTTATTTTCTACTTCCGGCCAGAATTAAAAGCTTTAACTTATTTATGCAAATTTGTCTTGCTAACGCCAAGTACTTAAGTTGTGGCTTTTTGCCAAGCAAGAGAGAGGAAGGAGCTATTAGAAGCAGGGCGCTTGCCATAGTAGTTTTACTCGGTTGCTGGTTGCCTTCAAGGCCAGAGGTTTAATCCTCTTGATAATTTTAAACGTATCGTAGTGTTAGCAGTTCTCTGTACTACATACGGCTTTTTGTTAATATACGGCCAATCTTGGAGTTAGGCACTTGTTTGATTAATCCAAAGTTAGTTTAGTCAGTTAGTCATCAGTTAGTTAGTTAGTCATCAGTTAGTCAGTTAGTTTCATCCAAAGTTAGTTAGTAAGTTTAGTTAATATTTTTATATTCTTACGTTCAGACCACAAGTGGTTGGTCTCTGTATTTCCGAAGTCCGGAAATCATTGTAAAGAGAGAAAAATAAAGGGTTTCGCATACCCTTCCTGTGTGTATTGTCTACTTCCCAAATTTTATTGAACATAGTTTTAGTAAGCTCCCTGTTCCGAATCAGGACAGTCAATGTTCCCTAAGCAAGTAAGGAAGAACGCAGAACCTGATAACTGTTCTTACTAAAAGCGTTAGATGGCGCCATGTTCGTTTAAGCTTTAGAATAGTGTCGAGTCTTCAAAGCAGAATTTAAATGCCCTGTATCAGTTTTTCACGAATATTTCGAAATCGGTGAAAAATTAAACCAGATTGGATGATGCATTTCGAAAAGCTCATTTCGGAGAAAAGACATAACCGATAATCAGCTCATACGAAAACCATTACATGACGCCGAATAGTTCTACACTATTCTACAGTTTTACTCGAGCTTGATAAAATTTTGTACAATACACATTAAACCAAAATGGGAGGGAAATCACGATCTTACTTCTTGAAAAAAACTACTCCCATCCCCTGAAACAAAGCCTTTTCACATTTCACACGAGTAACGTCGGGTGCTTCAACTAGTATAGAAAGCTAAATAAACATGGGAGATTGGTTTTTATTTCAGGATTTTTATGGTCCATATGTGTATTTGTAAAATCAAAATTAGTCTATATTCTTTACTGTAAATAACATCTTAGGAATAAATTCAGGAACCACAAATATAAATGTAAATTCGTAGAATTTTTTGTTTTTGAATATAAATATATTTTAAGAACCGCATTCTTACGGAGATATTTTAAAAAGAGAACGCTCTTTGAACGGCATTAGATCAAAAGAAATGACGTAAACTAAATTTCTTTTCCTTCAAACCTATTAAATGAAGACCGTGTAAAAGAAAAAAAATCTGATTTGAACACCACATGACTTCCTTGTATACATTTATGTTATATACATTTTTTGCTGCATTTCATTTAAACTTATTTCCTCGAATTTCATTAGAAATTTATTTCTTATTCAATTAATTTGGTTCTAACTTCACGGGAAAGCAAAAGTACATAAAAACTCAAAACATCTTTATTAAAAACTGTAAAATAGAGAAAAACATAAAACATCAAATACAGTTAAAACAGTTAAAAAAACAGTTTTTAAAATTAAAATTACAGTTTCTGTGCAAAAACAAACAACTCGGCCAGCGGGCAAGAAGGCTGATTTTTCAGTGCACAAAACTGAAACTTTACTTTTGATACCCCTCGCCAAAATGACATCATCGAAGGAGCAGAAACTGATTTAATTCGCTATTCTATCGAGTTTCAAACGTGAACAAATGGCGGTTCGTTAGGCTTAACTCGCCACCTTAAACTTTTAAAATTTGATAATTCTATAACTATTGCATGCAGATTAAGAAAAGACATAAAAACCTTAACCGGAACATAAAACCAATTACTTTAAAAAAAATGCGCAGTTTACCAACATATAAGAATAAAAAACTAAGTTCACCCAGCCAGGTAACAGTGTGGATATATATATATATATACAATTGGTGCAGCCGATTGAAACGAAAAAGGGAGGTGTACAACTACATGCTTATAGCAATCCCATGTACAAAATTTCAATGTTCTAGGGTTCTTCGTTCTTGAGTTACGCGAAATAGACACGTACGTCGTAAGTATAGAGATGTTAAGAAGAAATCTCTTCTGAATCCATTCTAAATGCATTTTATAATCCTTTTTAGAAGAGTCTTTTATTCTGCCCCTACGAACAGATGTCAAGGAAAAACATCGTTCAAATAGTTTTGAGAGCGATTAAAATGGATATTTTCGTTGATATATGATACTCGAAATTTTTCACGATTACAATACTTCCTATATTTCGTACAAAGTAGTAAAAATAGTTTAAAAGCAATATTGGTTGCGTTTTATATTTACCCAGAATATAATTCAGAGCTGCTAGAATAAAATATTAAAGAAATAGTCAAGTAATATCCAATAAATCAAACCATTACAAGTATTAATTATGACGATTTACGAACTTACGCAAATGTTTCAGAGTGGTATTTTATGAAATATATAAGGTATAATCAGGTGATAACTCTTACTTTAATTCAAACATTTATTTACCGATAATGACGACTGCATGCCTCAAATTCTCATTTTAATTCAAATCACGTTTCTGTTAGTAGGTTCTAGTAACAGTAGCCGGTATAACAGGTTTATTTTTGTCAGATGCTTCGAGAAATAATTAACTGTGATCCGCGAGCTAACAAGACAGTCGATGGCATTACGAGTCTTCAGAAGAAATCTTGAGAATATGTTTTGAAATATTTGAAATGAAATTTCTTTTTAGCGTTGAGTACTTGCGCAATTTTATGGCAAATGAAATTATAGAAAAAATCAAAACGTTGTCTTAGGAAATAAATAAAAAAGAAAAGATGTGTAAGACACATGACGAAATAGGCATACCTGATGCTTTGAGATTATTTCATTAGTCACAGCTTTATTTGGCTGATAAAAATTTTTATATCATTATCTGCAATACATAATTATTTTTCAATTGCTGCGTCATTGGTAAGAGTAAAGAATTTCGTTCAAGGAAGTTTATAGAATCTGTTGCCATTATTAATTACGATCGGTTGCTTCTCTGTGTATATACTAAAAAAAAATCTTCAGACGATTTTCTCTAGTATGAAGCAATATACAGAAAAAGTTAATATTTCTGACCTTTTACATATTTTCATTAAGAAGAAAATTGCGTTGCGCAAATGTGCAAACAGAAAAGAAAAGTACTTGTTATTCTTAACAGTTTTTTTAATTTAGGTGTGAATCCTATCAGACGAGATCCTAAAACAAAATATTTATATTCGAGAAGCTATTTTTTAATAACATAAGGAAACAAAATTTTGCTAATGTTATTGTAGCAGTATTTTATTTTCAAATTTAACTAATTTTTAACTAACTTTTTGCTCAATAATATTTCGTTTCTCTAACCGTTTGCAAAGAATACAAGTAAATTTTGAAATATTATCTATTATCTGAAACTGGAACGAAATAAAAGAATGTCAATGCATTTTTTCATTTCTGTGACTGTGTTTATTGATGCATTAGTACAATAAAAATTATTAGAGTACGAATTTATTTGGCGTAGTCAAATAATTTAATGCGATGTTTACATATTCTACTTTACAGAATAATAGAATTCATTTTTCTTGGATACGCCATGCTATTATCTCTTTCTGAAGGTCTAACATTATTTTTCGAGAATGTTATCATTCACGTCATATAAAATGTAAAATATAGTATTTGGTTTGGTTTATTCGATTACGGCAAAGCACTTGAGGGCTATCTACCTAAGGGGAGGGATCCTTCGTGGAGGACTTTCTAAGAGAAACTGGTTCATATACACGTTACACACGTTGAAAGTCCCGGAAACACCCATGCAGCCAGCCCGTTCGCGGGACTCGAACCCTCGGACCGAACTATCAGTGTTCAGTGACTTTTACCGATCGGCCGCTGGTGGGCTGCAAAATATAGTGTATCTCTTGAGGGAAATATCACAGAAACAAGTTAGCAGGTAAGATTTAGAGTAAGATCAGAACTGTACAATTCCTAAGAATATCTTAAATATTTGAATTTCCGTTGATAATTTAACATGGCCTTCAACTTTTCTTAGGTGAGTGGAGAAAGGGAGAAGCCAGTCTACTGTCTGAAACTAATCTTTGTTTTTCCTTTTCATAAATTTTACAAGCTCATAGCAAAGAAGGATAACAAAAGCGAATTAAATAAACTGACTTAAACTATATTCTTCTGCAAGTGTAATCCATGAATGATTTTCAATCTCGATTTCTCATGGAATATTTACTGTGAAATTTATTCTAGAGTTTTATTAAATAACTACTGAGATAATTTTGATGGCAACAAAAATAACTGATAAAAACATAATGGTAAAGTATTTCGTGATGTAGCTAAAATGGGAAAAAAAGACTAGTATCATTCAACTTGTTGCCATCTGTTTTCACCGAATCATTCATCCTATAAACAACTAATATTTTTGCAATCCAAATGAAGGTTGTATTTTGATTAACTGTTTAAAAATGCTCATTTATTTCAAGCGTTCTTTTCGAATAATTTGATTACGGTAGAAGACATGGCAATTGTTTTAATTTCTTTTACTTTGTCCACATGGATAAGTCCGTCATAAATCATAATGCCATGGACTTATGAGCATCAAGAGTAACAGGAATGTATTCCCAAATTTGAGAGGAAGCACCTTGTAAAAGGGATTGGAGAGCTTTAAACCTGAATTTCCTTTCCATCAACGGTACAAAAAAGTTCTTTGCTGGCAAGTTTTCAGTGTTCATATTCTGCATACATCGATCATCTTTTACGTTTCGCTGGACTGGAATTTCAAATCCAAGCCCAGCAGCGTAAAAGTGGCTTTTGCTGATGGCGATACCACTACAGAAGGGCAACATAAATAATTTACGCAGCAGGAATCGAGTGAGTTTGATACGCTGATAATGAGAGTGTGAAGTTGAGGTAAGACTCGGTTTCAGGCTCCGAAAGTAAATAGAAAAATTTGGCCACCATGGTCACTAAAAGTTAAGCATGCTCTGCAGGCTGAATCAAACTGCAGCTATTTTCAATTTAAGGTAGGAGAAAGTGTAATACATTCCTGAAAATTATGAATTTCGTCTCTTCATAGAAAAATTGAGAATGTGGCAGAATATTTGTACCGTATTTGCCGGCGTATAATACGCACCGGCCTATAAGATGCACCCCCCTTTTTAATACACATTTCTGAAGGATAAAACATTATTACTGATCATTATCATGAATTTTTCATTATTTTTAATATAAAGTAATACAAATACAATGTAATACTTTCTGAAAATACCCATTCCATGAGTTGCTTTTTTCAGATTCCTCTTCCTGATTTCACTAAGTTCTTATCCTTTTTTCAGTCGAGGGTGGCCCGAAATGCCTCTTTGTAGCCCTGTTTCCATGCTCTTTAGCATAAGCAATCACACGTTGCTTGCATGCTATGTTATAGCAATGCCGACGTTGTTTTTGATCCATAACTTGCCAACAATTTTAAGAAAACTGAACAGTAGAAATTTCACACACTTAAAAGTCGTTCACAAAAATTGGAATGTTTAAACGAACTCAGCTGTGGTAGTCGATGATAGCGCATGCGCATTCACTGAACTCTACGTAACTGTAATATTCCCACACTCCGCAAGGAAACAAGAAAAAAATTGCATAACTCCGAATAGGGGAAATTTCCAGAAATGAATGTAATCAAAAACTGAGTATCAACGTATAAGAAGAACCCCGTTTTTGAGACCTACTTTCAAAGAAAAAGAGTGCGTCTTATACGCCGGTAAATAAGGTAATTTTCAAACCACAATATCGCTATTATATTATTATCCACACTATCATCCTAAGCTATATATTGCCGAACATAATAAAACTATTCCTGAGCTACGAATTAAATTTAAAAAACATTTTCTATATTGTAAAATTATACAATGTTAATTGATGTTTGCAGAACGCAAATGAAATAAAACAGGACTAATATCGTAAGTTTTGTATGTTGTATTTCATATTGATATCTCAAAGAGAAACAATATTTTGTTTTCTTAGACAATGGCAGATTTAATATCAAAACAAATAGCTTATGTTTAATACTCACAGTATAACGTAATTGTTCACGAAACAGTGAGCAGCAGTCAGCACATATTTTGTATTAATTAGAGATCCTCCGCAGAGGAAAGTTTTGGGCCTCGAGCCTTGATGCCGCCGAAATATAGCGGTCTGTAAATAAAAACACATTAATTAGTTATTAAAATGATTTAAAAACTATTGACAATTGCTTAAGGTCAAACCGGCACTAAAATCTTTTAACTTTTACTTAAGTCATGCCGTAGTTAATGGCTAAATGCACATTAAATTCAATTAGCATAATTAACATTTACAAAATTTAATTTTAATACTTGCCGATCACAAAAGGGAAATTTTGTTAAACTAAAGATGAACGAAGAAAGCATATATTTAAGGGCAAAATTCAATCAAAATTTAATAAAACAAAATGTTGTAATAGAGAAAAAGAAAATATAATTCCTCTGTTTTCAATAATTTCCTTTCTCATTCAACTAATATGAATATGTTTCTTAAATATTTCAAACAACCGTCGCAATTAGCTGTATATTGTTCGCCTATGGTTTGAGAAATTCCAAAGGAAATTATTAATTTAATTATCATATACCTGCCAAGAAAGAAATTCATGTCCTAAGTGCTTGTCGTATGTTTTTAAAAAAAATAATGATGTATGCTTTATTTTGATTGAATCTTTTTGTTTTATATTAAAGCTGTCCCCCTCTTTTATTTTTTCCATCAATTCTACTAGAAAGGCAAATTTAAGGTATTTCAAAATAGCGAGCGAAAAGGTAAGTTACTACAAATAAGGGCTACAAGGAATGTTCAACTCGTGCTTTCGTGATGTTATTGGAGCACCTCCGGCTCAAGGTTATTGGGTTATTAAAGTATCCCAAAGCTCACAAGGGCTATCTGTCTAACAGGAGGGATGCCTTCGTGGAGGTAATCCTGAGGCAAAGTGGTTTATATTCACGTTACATATGGAGAAACCTGAAAAAAAAGAAAAAAAAAAAAAAAACACCTATGCACCTATGCGAACAGCCTGTTTGTCTGAGTTAGGAACTAGATCGACTTACCAGTATTCAACAATTTAACCTCCAGACGACTTGTGGTCTTTCTGCATTCCATAACTTAGTGCAGAGAAAACTAGCAAATTATCCAGTAAATCTGTATGGGGGCGCCCACGCGTGTGCACATCCACGCCGGACACTACATTCGCGTCCTAATATGTCCTCACTGCGTTATCCCAAAGCGGCATCTTCAAATTTCAACCTGTTTGTTTCTTACGACATTTCGTACCTTTTCATTTGAACAGCCCTTATATTTATTCAATCAATTCCGTTCTCGCTCCGCGGCAAGGCACAAAATACATAAAAATTCAAAACGTCTTCCTTAAAAATTGTAAATTACAGGGAAACCTAAAACACCAAACACGGTTGAAAATAGTTAAAAGAACAATTTTTGCAATTAAAATATCCAAATAACAACAAATGATTCGCCAAACGGGCAAAAAGACAAAAGTTTTGGTGTACAAAAATTTAAACTTAACTCTTAACACCGCTGCGTAACAAGATACTGAAGTTGGAGCACCAACTGACTTAATTTCACTATGCTACTAAGAATTTCAAATGTAAACAAATGGCGGCCTTCATTAGGCCGAGCGCCACTTACAATAAATCGTTGATAATTCTACAACTGTTGCATGTAGATTAACTAAAGGCATGAAAACCTTAACGGAACTTAAATATATAATTCAATCACTTTTAAAGGAAAACAATGTACAATCTACCAAAAATTTTATTCTTATAAGAACAAAATCTAAGCTCACAGAACCAGGTAACAAAGTGGGAATATATATATATATATATATATATGATTGGTGCAGCCTACTGTAACGAAAAAGGGAGGTGCACAACTACACGTTATGGCAGTTCCATATACACACTTTCAAAGTTCCACGACTACTCTATTTTGAGTCTTGCGAGATACATACCTACGTACGTACGTACAGAATTCACGAAAAAGTGTCTTCTGAATCCATTTGAAATCCAGTTTACAATAAGTTTTGGAAAAGACAGTCCTTTATTCTGTCTGTGCGTATACATGACACGCAAAAACATCGTTCAAATGGATTGGAGTGCGGTAAAAATGGGTATTTTCGTTGAAATATGATACCCCAAAATTTTTGCTATTACAATACTTCCTTTACTTCGTATAAGAAGTACAAATGAAGCTACTTGTACTGTGGCTTAATTGTAATTATTTAAAAAACAAGTATCTAATTCAAAGCCAAACACCTAGTCGGTCTACATTACAGCAAAATCTTTCAATTACTTATCAGCATCCCAACTTCTATTTAATATTTGCTTGTTTACGGTTTTAGCAGAGCTATGGGAGACTGAAGCTACTCACGAAAGCTACGCTGTAGTGGGCAACAGATAAACTTGTACGTTTAATCTATGCCGCATGTGTTTAAATTTGCGCAACTTTCTAATTAAGAGAGAAAACGACTACGATATGATCCAAGAAGGATAGAATGGAATTAAATCTTAAGAATAATTATCATAATAATGGTTGAAAAAGTGAAAAATCTTTACAGAACTGGAACCCTTCCCGCAAATACTGAGTTAATTGTTTCATAAGGTGTTTCATGATTATTTGCAAGCTGGGAATAGTTTTAATTAGGCATTACGCTTGTGAAAGAAGACAGAGTTGTGTGCATTGAAACAAAGTTATGCATATCTATGTAAGATTATTAGTTTAAATTAACCAGTTATTTTATAATTTCAGATTTCACTATAACTTCTACATTCTATTTCCTCAGCAGAATCTAAATGAGGTTAGATAATATTTTCGTTGAACATTTTGGATTGAAAGGCAGAGCATGTTTCTGCCTTTAGGTACGTTACGTTAGTTCCTGCCAGCTGTGATGAGTTTATAATTAATTATTCGGCTTTGCGTTATCACTGCTGACATTTGAAATTGTTAAGCCGGTCGGTCAAGTCATTAAACCAGCTTAGATTAAACTTAAGTTCTGTAGTCCCTGACTACTGGTCTACGTTTTAAATTGAATTTTGACGATTACTTTAGTTGCATCACTACGAGCTGCGGTTGATTTTGTTAACAGAAGAACTTGTATTTATGTTCGAAGCACTGCTTAAATTAAAAAAAAAAAAATAAATAAAAATTGAAGCTCTGCTTAAATAAAAAAATTCAAATAAAGCTTTATTTGAATTTGTTGCTGCTTTCAAACACCATAATTCTCTCCACATCTGTTAGAGCTTTTGGACGTAGAATAAAAAAAAATAAATAAAAAAAAAAAAATAAAAATCGAAGCTCTGCTTAAATAAAAAAATTCAAATAAAGCTTTATTTGAATTTGTTGCTGCTTTCAAACACCACGATAATTCTCTCCACATCTGTTAGAGCTTTTGGACTACTTAGAATTAACCGATCAAATACAACCCTATAATGTTATATAATCAAAAGGCGCGATTCGAAGAGCTCATTCTTAAAAAGAACTTAATAGAAGAAAAATCACTTACCATCCAAGGCCATTCGTGCTCATCAGATTCTTGCCCACCGGCTATGAACAACTCGTATGGTTTTACACCGCAAGCTAGAAAAGAAAAACAAAGGAACTGTTTACAAAGAGGATTTGGGAATAAGTGTTTTTTAATGTTACTTTTTATTTCTTTTGACTCATTGTCAAACCGTATTTTATACCAAAAGCTGACTTTAAAAATTTACTCTTGTATAAGAATGTGTGCTCTTCAAATTATTGTTATTATGTTACATTAACAGTGAAATATAAATTTACAAATTCCACTTTTTTATATCTTTAGATGCGCAAATAACTTTAGAAACGATTTCGAAATTTGCTTCTTATCTTTTGGATTATAGAAATTTGAAAACATTTTATTAAACTAGTTTTACTTTCTTTAGATTCAAACAAATGCAGTCATCTAACATTTTTAATATATTTGCTGCTAATTTCACGCGATCAGACTCAAGCAGTTATACTTTATATGAGGTTTAAATAGAAGTTTTTCCTTAAAAATAATTTAAGTAACTTCTAATATTTATCCTCGTGTGCAAAATTAAGAGATTCTGAAAATTATATCTATTTTTACACAAAAGGTATTGACACAAAGGTACTAATTATGCCTCCAAAGAATTATGCAAATATTCAGAATCTTTTACATAAGCGTATATATGTCTGTCCGCGGAGCTATGATTGTGGAGAGGATATAAGTGCACGAGGGATTTTCGGCGATTTATGTGCTCGTATTCTTTCACGACATTTGGAACAATTGGGTAAATTTTGTAAAGTATCAGGTAAAATAAGTAGCCATGACTGTATGGATGACGGAATGAGATAGAGAATTGTCGGTAGATTGGAGGCAGGCTAATCACAAACGCAGGCGGCTACAGAGCTTAATGTAACGTCCAGCTTTGTCTACAATATCTGAAAGTAGTTTTAGAATACTGAATCTATATCGACAAGACCTGGACAAGGTCGACCATGATCTGCAACGACGAATGAGGATTGTTATCTGACACTTTCAACGCGGCGACACAGGACTGCTACAGCTTTACAGCTCTCATGTAAGCTATATGCTGTCACTGGAAGAATTTCACTCTTTACAGTTGCCCGAAGGTTTTATGGGATAGACCCGTATGCGAGAAATCTCGCTGTTTGCGTTCCGCCCACTGCAACACACAAGACAGAGCTTTTAGCATGGTACAGGCAACACGCAAACCAAACTTCAGTGGACTTGTGGGAAACTTGGACCAAACTTCAATGGAGCAACATGCTTTTTACAAATGAAACACGTTTCAGCCTAGATACCGATTCTCGGCGTAACTCTACATGGAGAGAACCTGGAACACGATAACATTGCTCCCTCAACAGAGAAAAGGATCATAACGATGGTGGAGGTGCAATGGTTTAAGGCAGGCATTATTTTGGAGGACCGCATACCCCTGCATGTGGTTGACGAAGGCTTCCTGTCTGATATGAGGTATACACAAGAAAAATATGTTTGAATCCAAATAACCACTGCCAAATATTTCCATAAAAAAGTCCAGAACGTTGAAAAAATTTATTTAGTTTGAGTATCGGTGTATTTATCAGTTCAAAATGATTTATAAATAATTCGATCACAAAACTGGTATTATCGTTTACATTTATGACATTTTTCGCTGACCATTGCAATGCAAAAGTGATAACTTTTAATTTATTAGAATTACGTAATCCTACGGAACATCTTTTACTATGTAGCAGATATGAAAAACTTTATTTTCCTAGTAAAAGCAGCTAGGCAACTGAGTGGGAAGATAAGTCCTGTGATTGCTTTAGAATGTTAACAGAACTTAAAATCAAATTAAAGTTCGCCATTCTTTTACCAAAGCGTCCATTTTTGTTCATATACCTCAGAGATGGCAGAATCGAGGAAGAAAATCTATTTGCGCCAAAAGTGTCCTTATCTTTCTATAATGCTCTCATCTATATTTTTCGAATGGAAACTGAATGTGAGTTGGCCTTTATCTTCAACTAATTTAATAAATCTAAGCTAGATACCAGTTATTCCCAGTTTTAGGGATATATACAGCTAGATCTATAGGAAAATTTTTAATTTGGTACATGCACATGTTTCCAGTTTTGGTTGAATTTTTGCAGCAAAATCTTGCTTCTCTTTTTATATTTGCAAATATACGTTACATATACAGTACCTATTCGTACATATTGGATACATACGGCGTATATATTCGTATATATATATATATATATATATATATATGAATATGATACGTATGGCATGTGTATCCGTACGAATGGTTTATGCTCAAAAATTGGAAGCAGTGTCTTTTAATATATTTTATTCAAATTTGTATAGAATTCAGAAATTTTTCCTAATTTACAAATATGTTAAATTTCAACTTTCGCATAGTTAGTTTTGGGGCATAATAAATTCTAGGCTTTTGCTCACCTGGTACTTTAGGCTGTGGCACAGATAACTCATAGGTGTCTGGAAATTTGATGGGTGCTTTGGAGCTGTCCTGAGTTCGATTCTTCTGATGACTTCTCGTGGGTTTCGATCTTCTTGGTGGATCGTAGCCTCGATCAGGTTCTAGATGTTCTTTTGCTGGATAATGCCCTGCAGAAGTAGGAAGAGGACGCCTCTTGGGTTCAGAATCTCTGTTTTCATCCTTTCGGACATTTTCTTCTTCCTCCCTGTGGTTAAAAATATATATGTACGCATTACGTACTTGCCTTTTACTTGATGGGTAAGACAGACTATTATTCTCGAGTCATTGCTGAATTTGAGTCATTGCTATCTTGCGAACAGTTTTCTAAGAGGTTGTAGGTCTCCTCACAGTGTAATGCTGAGTTACTGTTGAACGTGAAGAATCTTAAGAATGGTAAGCAAATAATCGCTTGAGTTAATGAAGAAATTAGGAAATGAGAAAGATAAAAATGTTAAAAATGGCTAAAATGTCGCATAGAACATATATCATGTGAAGAAGCATACAAAAGTATTTCCTCCTCTAAATAATAACAGAAAAAGGAAAACAGAACGGAACAAAAATGGCAGATTAATCATTTATTCTTGTTATACAAAGCAGGAATAATTTTATTAAACTCGAAATAGTAAGAGCTGCAAGTAAGATTTCTTACTTTGATCTTGATCTGAACGGCCTATTATCCACTCTTATTTGCTTACAGATCAGTTCAGAAAAAAGTGCTCATTGTCAGATTACAATAATTAAGAGTTTAACTGCGATCCACCTGTGAGAATAATCAGATTAATCAGTTTGTTAATTTATCCCAGATGTTTAAAATAGGGTCAGGATACTTATCTTACACGTGCAAGCTTTCAAAGATCAGCCCGCTAGGTGCTACTTATGTAATGGAAATCATCGATGTACCTTCAAATGATGGCCTAAATTAAGGGATATGAAAAGAATTAGTGATAGGCCTACCAAATGATGATACTTTTCCCCACCACATTCTCCAGTGAAGAAGCGACCTCCGCCCAAGTTAAAGGTAAGTCTGGAGATGGGTAATCAGTATAAAGTTCCTCCTGCCCTTGTTCACAAGATTCATGGGTTCTTTAAAAACATCTACAATATGCAACAGAAAGATGCTCAAAGAGGAAAAACCCATGGAATAAATTCAAGGTAGATTTTCTAGTCAGGGATTTGCTAACGATGTTCTCAGTAGCCTTGTTACTTCGCCTGCTACAGATAGAAATTTAACTCCAATCTGCTTTCAAAGGATCGTACACAATTAATGCTAGAGCTCATATGCTTTCCTCGGCTTGTATTTTTGGAATGGCTCATCATATCATGGGATGATTTCACCTTCTGAATCTACTTGATAAAACTACTTTTTCACCTTGTTTTTCAATTCGTATCATGTTTGAAGATTTTGCGAATCTCTGCCTCTCTCAGGACTTTGATTCCAGTGACAAACGGTCACCCCTTTTTTAACCAGGACTACCCCGTAAGAGATGAGTCCGAGTGGTATTACTTTATCGAGATGGACACTTCGCTTTTTGAGCGATATTTTTATCGATCTACCAGTTGTTTTTTGAATATGATTTACTCAATTTTGATTTTTTGAAAATTAATGCAGTTACATAATTTATAAACGTATATTTGAGAGAAAGCTTTATTAAGTAGTAAATAGCTTATCAAAATTTACGTGTGTTTTCAGGTTTCATTGTTGATTAAGTAAGAAAATAAAATATCCAAAAAAATAATTTATGCTCTTATACATAAGATTAACTGATAAATTATTTATCTTGCAAAAATATGTTAAAGATTGATAGCCAGTACGGAAATATTCTTTAAACTAATCATAGTACTGCATAGGAATACATTTTATTATTTCTTTCGTCTTTCCTTAATTTTCTCCAACAAGGAATTATCATTCGAAGACCAGTTGAATATACTCACATTTGTTTCTAAGATACTTCAGGTAGTATATATTTCCCTGTAGACCATTTCCGACAAACAAGAACTGTTACCAAACAGTGTGATTTAGCGCTAATAACAAATATGTGTTAACACACAACACATTTATTACATCTCCATTTTCGTTTGACGTAACCCCATTAATCCTCGATAAGCCAGTTTAGTTTTCTAAGAAAAATACAAATTAACTGCTACTTTTATATTTCCTTCTTGCATTTTAAAAATGATTAAAATTCAGGGCCTTCTTTCTATGGAACAGCATGCAATGGAATATCTTCATAGGTACAAGATCCAGGCATTTTAAAAAATGAAATCTGTATGGAATTTTATTGAAAAACGAATAAGGAGTGGCGATATAATGTGAAGAAATGTGACACGCAAATAATACATTTGATGATGTGATTTAGCGAAACTTGTATCTATTGATTATCTAACTAAATAAAGAAGACCTGTTCACTCGAATTTCCGCTGAAATGATTGGCTCAAGTTTGGTTACTTTTAAAGTCAAAGGGAAAGTATGTAAGTAGTAGTATTCACTAACAATACCTCGCAGATAAATACGAATGCTTAGGATACAGAGTGTTTCAATTTATTTGTTTTGGAGCTTATTTATAAAGAAGAAATATCTCTAAAACTTTACAGTTTTAATTCGCACGAAGATTTCAGTTAACGACCTAACCTAAATTCATTTTATAATAATAAAAAATTTTTTGGAAAAAAACAGATTCATTACATTATGAAATTCATTACATTATGACAGATTTCATTACATTATGAAATAAATTAAGGGACAAACTTCATTTTTTCTCAAGGCATTCTTTAATATTTAAAGTCTTTTACATAAATATAAAGAGATTACAAAACGTATCTTACCCTTTACGACTAGACGATGATGATGCTTCCCTTGGAAAGCCCCCTGGTCTTCCTCTGTTTCTGTCATATGGATCTGAAAATGTCCTGTCTCTGTCAGATTGGATCTTTGGACGATCATCATAAGAATGCCTCACTGAGTCATCATACCTCCTATTATCGCTTGCAGTTGTGTCAGTCTGACGATTTTCAAAACGTCTGTTATCTGATAAATCATCGTAACTTGGTATTCGATCATCGTAAACCTTTGGTGGTTGAGGTTCTCGGTCATATGTTGTCAAAGGTTTTCTAGGTCGATCGTCATCGTCTGTACGACGTGGAGGGGGCCTGTCATTTGAGGTAGAGATATGACTGGGTCTGTTGATGCTAGATGGCCTGCGAACAGGTATTTCTGTTGGTTGTGGCTCCGGTTCAACAGGAGCAGGAGGCCGAGCTGATCTGGATGTGGTTGGTATTGGACAACAGTAGTCATCATCATCACAAGGTGCTAACTGTTCGTCGTTGGCCTTACGACAGTACCGCTTTACAACACAGACACCTTCACGACCGTCAGGAGTGAAGCATTTATCGTAACGACGACCATCAACACCTAATAATGAAAAAATAGATAATCTTAGATTTGGAAATAAATGACATCCAAACCACTAAAATATATTTTAAAGCTTACTTTCGTCCGCAGAGAAAGAAACTGTGTTGTAAACAATCCACTCCTGCTCAAATTTTGTAATGGAAGTAATAAAGAAAACAAATGACGAAAGTAATAACGAATATTTTTCGTTAGTAAACGTCGAGGATTCGCTACCATTGTATTTATTTGAGGGAAAGAGGAACAGAGGCTATTTGCCAGGTGATATTTTTCACAGTAAATAAAAAGAAATTTCTTTATGTCATTTTCCGTAAGTTAGATTATAAGGTATTTCTCCCACTTCCCTAACGTGCCTTCGTGGTGTTTACGGTAGCACGCTGGGCCGGTATTCCAGAGGTTCGTGGTTCGATTATCGGCGAAGGCGGTTGCATATTTTTCATCTTTTCTGCTTCCAATTAACCTAATGACTCTACAAGTGGCGCCCGAACTAAAAGGGTTGTGGATGATGATTCTCCGCACCCAGGATTTGGCGACTAGGTCCCCTAAAACCCTAGTCGCCCTTTAAAAAGGGGAGTATATAAGGTATTTCTCCCACTTTCCTAGCGTGCCTTCGTGTTGTAACGGTAGCACGCTGGGCCGGTATTCCAGAGGTCCGTGGTTCGATTCCCCGGCGAAGGCGGTTGAATATTTTTCCTCCTTTCTGCTTCCAATTAACCTAATGACTCTACAAGCTTATGAACTATAGGTTAATGTACGATTACGAACGTCGTCGTGTTTGAATGTTAAATCTTATCAGATAAATATATAAATGTTGCCTAAATTCGAGGAAATATCTAAGAATACAAAATTTTCTACTAGTTAAGATGTAAAAGAAATTTTAGCACTCAAAGCTGTTTGAATCCTTCTTCGAATGAAACCATAGAGGTTCTACAGGCAGTAACAGACAATTGTTTTCCTATCAGAAACTGCTCCAAATAAAACTTGAGGCATGTTGAAAAAGAAAATGGAATCTAACTCTATTTTACGACGCATACTTCAATGATTAACTTCTTATTCAATGATTTAATGCTTACTGACTATTAATGACTATTTAATGATTTCAATGAATTAATGTTACGTGCTTACGGGTTCGTAATGGATTATATGCACAGAGAACAGGTGGTGGATTGATTAAAGTTATTGTTCCAAAAGAAACACTTTATAGTTTTGGAACTTCCCACAAAAGTACTCGTACAGCTCTTCTCAGTATAGCAGAGCACAATCATTAGTTGCCACTTCAGACTACTAATAATGTTAAACACAATAAAATGAAAAGCACATCCAAAGAGCGAAGTTTGCACGATCTCTCAATACTTCGAAGTCAAATCTAAACTAAAAACTGAGAAACTGATACTCTCTACGGTCTTATATAGTTTTCTTCCGGCCGCCGAGAAATCTCTAATGCTTTTCATTTCTTAAAATTATTGGATGGCATTTACGGCTAAAGTTACATATAAGGGCCGGATAAGGTTACAAGTGATCAATAACAGTTATTCAGTTACAGTATGAATCACAGTTACCTCCAAGGTTAGCGAATTTGGGTAATTTCCTGCCACTTTGGTAATTGGGTAATTTGGTGATAAAAATTGCTAGCTTGGCGATATCTCGCCAATTTAGGGATAGACAGAGAGATAGACCATTTACCTCAATAGCAAATAGACTTGCCCTGAAATCGTATTTTTACAGCAGAGCTCTTCAAACATTTTATGTTATATTATAGAAAACAAGTTTCAATTTCATATATAATTTCACTAAAATAACTTAGATACATACAAAATTCGTAACAATATTTAAATCTGATGATTACTCAAGTTAGAGAAAATGTGTAACCTCATGTTCATGTTCTTCGAAACACGGTCTAGCAATCTAACTTCGGTGAATTCATGACGAAAGATGCAGTTATTCATAGGAAACGCCAATGTAGTATGGCCATGGTCATTTAAAATAGTCACATAATCGCCGCTACCTATTCTTTCTTGTAAGGAAAAATTGGATCTGCTGGAAACCGCATTTTGATTGCAAAATCATAGCTGAATCGGCACCATGTTTTACTGTAAGAAGCAGAGAGTCTGGATCGTGAGATTTTACTGATATTCTCCATACGTAGATCAGCCTTGAGGTAAAGAATAGTGTGAAAGTTGACTGCTCAGGAAACAATATTTTCTCCAAAGATCTGAATTCTATGTTTTATGGTTACGGCATCATAGTAATTTCCATTTTTCATTTATTTCTATAGCAAGAGATTTTCGAGACAGCACTTCTGCCATCAGTATGCTAATTATGCTGTAATATTCTGCCCTTTGCATTGTATGTGTTGCATTTGGGTTCTGTAAATGCATATTAAAGTCAACAATGACCTTTGATGTAACGAGTTTTCTTTTAGACGCAACAATCCTTTTAAACTACTCTCTAGCCATATCAGAAAGTTTCGTTTCTCTCCTACAACTGTGCCCTAACAGATGAAGTTTTGGAATGAATATTGTACACTGTTCTGAGTACTTTTCAACCACAAGAATAATTTTTTGACCGATATTAACAAATGCACCAACTAGCCGGGTACCAACCAGCTGACCTTTCTGAAACTGAATAAAGTCGCTCATTTTTCCTTCCTATGAACTAAACTTTACAAATCTCAACCGAAATTCAAAATTTTGCAAAATAATCATACAATAAAAAGGGGTGTAACTGCTTGTACAATGTGCTGTAACAGACAAAAACAAAAAGCGAGTATTTCAAGTTCCCGTTGTTATTCCAAGGAGAGTTCCACTTATTCTAGCCACCTCTGTATTTTGATACTACATGAGAAAGTTTCAACTGATTATGTAATTCACTCGCCTTATTACCCTCGTTTCATTAAAAGAAAAAATTTACTATTTTTTAATTAATTTACTAAGCCATATGTTTTTATCCAATGAAATCAAACAACAACAATAATAAAAACACAGCACCACAATACTAATAATAATAATGGCAATAATAATAATAATGTCGAACAACAATAATAATAATGTCGAAAATAATAATAATAGCAATAATTTATATACGGATTTTTTCTTCGTGTACTTACTTATTACTGCCGTCCCATTGCATCTGATAAAAGACAGGTAAAGATAAAAGAGGTTATACATCCCGTATATGGATCATTCCCGGATATGGCAAATGTGTTCCAGAAGGTTCGAAAAGGTTTTTATTCCCCAGCGGACTTATCTTACTATGGTCGAAGTCTGGCCATTTCAGTTGCCTTCGAAGAAGGACTGATGGTTTTGGTCACCAAGTACGACCTCTCCTCTCATCATCCGGAGGACAGAAATGGGAACCCGGTTTGAGTATAGTGTGCCACAGAGCCGAGACTGTTAGCGTACAGATCTCAACCAGTATAACGTCGCGCGCTGGTTTACAGTAATAAAAGGCAGACCCACAATGACCAAATAAATATGGTCGCTGAACAGTGTTAGTTCAACCCAAGATCAAATTACAGCAAACCGGTAGCTACATGGCCATTTTTGTCGTTTTCCCCTTCTGCATCGTGAATACGAAGGAGGTTACCTTAGACACCTATCACAAAGGCATTCCTTAGTTCTGCCATGATCGATTAAGGGAAGAGCAGAACAATTTTTAATTTGAGTTTAGCATTTGAAAGAGAAAAGAAAGAGAGGATTTATCGCCTTTTTTAAAAATTACACTAAACAGAATTTAATGATAGGAGCCTGATATTAATCACAAGCAGGTTTCCTACTAGAAACTTTCCTTTTTTATTTGTTAGATATGAGAGAAAAAAAAACAAGCATGCATAAGGTAATTTAGATATTTTTTATATACCAGCACCAACGAATCAGAACTACTCAAGATGTCGAACGCTGGGAAATCGTAAAAACACTGAAAGAGTTAATCCTTCCGATTAATTCATTTTTAGAGAAAAGCGCATGCTGACAGCATAGACAAAGCGTAATTTTTTATTAATTCTTATTGAATCCCGAAAGCAATCAAACTGTCAAAGCAGTTTTGAAATAAGTTGAAATCATTCTCAACAAATAGTTATTAATTATTCCTCAAAGTTGATTCCCAAGTCTGGAAAGTAACATAGAAATTATGATAAGTTATTATTCTAAGGATTATTCAAGCTGCTGACAGCTGCTGAAAGGAATCATAGTATTTATATTACGAATCCATCACAAGATTAAAAAAAAGAATTTTCAACAAAAATTCGATGGGAAGGCCCCAATTGAAAGGTCTAACTTTGCGGAAAATTAGCTAGTGGTCAAACAACATACTTTGTTAATCAATAAATGCTTCCTTTATTTTTTCCCCGGGTAGTTACACTATCACAGAATAGAATGATACACACTTAATACACTCTATCATAAAAGAGAATGATAGTGTGTATTAAGAATTATTATTTCCAGTGCTACTGGAATCAAATAATAAACATATTTTAAAACATTGTATATTTCATTCTTTTTCAAAGCGGGAAATTGCATTAATTAAACTTAAGAGTCATCGATTTTGACGAAGGTCAATGAATAGTTATTTTCAAAGATAAAAATTTGCATTTCATTTATTTGGAAAACTGTGATAAAAATCTGAATTTATCCGTTATTTATTGCTTGTAAACAACATACCTTATGCCAATACTGCAATAATCAATAAAACAGTATTTTTCTTGGACTGTTAAAAAAATGTTGGGTTAGGTAATGATGAGACTTTCGAGGGGCATCACGCAAAGCTGCCATGATAGTAGAATCCAGAAGAATGTAGTGGTGACCTCTTTCTCTGAACGAACTAAGGAAGGGGAAAATAATGCGGATATTTTGAATATTTTCAGAACCTAGTGCTAAACTTGCTAGGGGGTAATACGGTGCATATATATATATATATATATATATATATATATAAAATTAGATGATAAGAAAATTTTCCACATACCACCTCCAAGGAACACAAATTCAATTTAAAACCATGAATGAAAAAACGTTTTAGTCAGAATTTTAATTAGTATTTTCAAGACTTTCTTGCTTAAAAATCTAAAAATCTGCTAAGAAAAGTCTTCAATTGCAAAAATACCAAAACCAAAAGTAAACATTTTAAGCATTCAAAAAGTAGCTATTGTCATTAATTGAGCCCGGTCCCTTCGGTATAGCAGTCGGCTGCCCTAACCACTATACCATCTGGGCAGCACAACCAACTTAAAAGTGATGAGGATTTAATAGCACGCATCGCTTATAACTGCTTCAAAAATCTAGGAATTTTTCAGCATGCACGTCATTCCATGCAGGCAGGTTGTCAAGCGTATGTGACAGTTCATAGTCGTAACTTCGAATACTTTCTCTTATCCTCTTTGTACAGTAAAGCATTGAAGATGGATATTTTTTACCCTGCATTATTACACGATCCCAATTCGTTTTTGCGCAACCTACCCTTACCAGAAGTTTGAACATGCTTAGCTGAAACAGCCTTATGTTTAATATCAAATCGCTAAAAGTATTCTTGGATCACTGCAAATAAATGTAAATTTAATAAATAAACTGTGAAATTTTATGCTTACCATTTAAAAACAGGTTTAATAAGAATATCCAACAAAGTATTCCCTTCCAAAGCCAGTAAGATTTTGACATCTCAGGAAACCTGAAACAAATTCAAGTGTTGCTTAAAACAATCACTCATACTTTTGAAGTATATTATATAATTTGAAGAAACGGATCAATGATGTTTTCTTGTATTTTTATTAATTATAATTACTACTTTTCCCTGATAAATACCGTAACAACACATTTGTTTTATTACATCAGATCTATTTTTAACTAGTCAGTGGCTGATATGAAACGCATTACTGATACTTTGCTATAATGTTAATAATTTTCATTGTACTTTTATAGCAAATATAACTTTATTATTTAATTATTTTTTATGATAAACCAAGAAAGGCTCAATCGAAAACATCCCAGTACTGAAGTTTTAAGCAAATGATACAAACTACATTGAACAGAATTAAAAGGAATGTGAAAGGGGTTACACATTTTTACTTCTTGTTTCCCTCTTTACAAAGACATATATAAATTTTGGTAGTTTTTGAAACATTAGCGCAGTTTGATATATCTCCACACTGTAAATTTAGCTCTGGATTTAATGGATGTAATCCGTTATTGTGGATCTATCTTGGATGGAGCGATCTTGGATCTATCGCGATGGAGAATAAAACTCCAAAGACGAAAACGCATATAAAAATTTTAATAACTAGTTTGAAATATGTTATTAATATTGTAAAAATACCAAGACAAACTAATGGCATGTCAAAAAGAAACTGAGGGATCTGCTAGATCTAAGGGTGCTGTTTGATAAATTCCATTCTAATATTTTGTATTCAGTATTTTAACCTTCAATATAGGTTTTAATGAGGCAGTTTCGAAAATAGCTATATTCTTGAATTAAAAATTCTTGGAAGTGATACGAACCGAAAAATTGGCGCTGTAGATGATTAGACATTTTACTACTAGTATGTGCTTGCGGAAACCTTAATAAAATGACTTAATGTATCTTCATGCACTAAAGGCGTTATAAACTCACATTACTTATTACATTATATAATAATATTGTTCTTGTGATTTATCTCACATGTCTGAGAGTAACACTGGATGAAGGCCAAGAATTCATCATGGCCAAAGGCGCATGATTTGTGCCTGTCGCTGGCTTCCGGTTTGGACACCTTGAGAAGGGAATACGAATTTGCCAAGCTTAGTCCCAGTTTTGAAAGAGAATTCCCAAAGGACGAATCCAAGGGTTTCTACACTCTCTTTCAATCGACCAACCTCTCATCACAGCTTTTGTCTCAACAATGTTTTAAGTGCCTCTATACCCAAAGAGATTATACAGTAACAAACATTCATATCTTTTCCGGGATTCATACCCAGGCCCGAGGCATCCGGATTCCTTATCATTATGTCAAGGGAAGATTTAGTAATATTAAAATTTTTCACGGATTTGGTTTGATTTTCATAATCTTTTAGGTATAGTGCATTGATTGTGGAATTCGTAACTCCAATAATTTTCAATACAGACATTTTCTCTACTTGCTGTTTATAAGGTAAACGTATCGAAACATATTATATCTTACAGAGTAAACATGTACTGCACATTGAGCTACATCTTTTCTTAAGAGATTTCAAGGATATCATTCTACTACGATGAAGAGCCTTTGGGTCGACAATTGTTTCCACAGATCTTGAAAGAAGTTCAACAAGGTCTATGGCTATTAACTACCAACTCAGATAAAGTGTTTTATAGTGGTGCGTGAGGTAAGAAACGCTTTGCAGTTAATCGATCTGTAAAGAATTAAATATTTAAATAGTAATTAGCGGTTATATAAGGTTTGAATGCGGTTATATTAGTGTTTTTATTTTGTGACTGGTTTTGAATAAATTTCCTCTGAAAGTATTATAAGCATTATTTTTTTAAGAAAAAGGAATAAGTAATTAATGCAATACAAGTTTCATGGCACTTTCTGATTCATATTAATTGAACTTCTTTCACCGAAAAATCTTACATCCCACTAAATGTTTCTAAACATTTGTTTTACAATCATAATGCTTAGTGTAGCAAAGTTATATAACTTCCCTCTCTTTTTTTACTTTTACTCTAACTTTTGTACTAGCAGCAGTATTTTAAAAAAATACTGCTAACTTTTGTACTAGCTTACTCTAACTTTTGTTAAAAGTTACTTACTCTAACTTTTGTACTAGCAGCAGTATTTTAAAAAAATACTGCTGCTAGTACAAAGTTAGATATAAAAAAAACTAATATTTTTTTTTTTAGTCCAAAGGGATTTGAATCCCGAAGGACTATTAGTTTCGTTTTGGCATTATTTTCAACCAACTGTTCAGTCGCTACTCTTATCTATGACATAAATGCTGTGGTTATCCATGCTGACTGAATGGTTAAATAATTAAATGTATCACAAGATGTTTGTAATAAATTATTCAAACATTTAGGTTCTTTAATATTGTGTTATCGCAATGACCTTAGTAGAAGTCGCTAAGTTTTCAGACTGTGTAAAACTCTGGCAACTATAAGCATAACAACTGTTCAGGCAACCATGATCATAACAATTCTTCAGTCAAGCAACATCACCATTTCCGCATATGTTCCCTTTGTCGTATTCCAATGGCTTTTATAAAGAAATAGTGATATTTTATGCCTAAACTCTAATAGAACTTAAGTTTTAAGGCACTGGCTTTGGGGAAATTTGGCAATTTTTTACAGATGAAAAGGTAAAAGTTGCTAATCGGGTACAAGCTGGTAATTTTGCCGAATTCTTTTAAAAGATCTCCAAACTATCGCTGATTATTATAAATCGAAAAATATCAAAGGAAAACACACTTTAGCAATTTAAAATACAAGTTTTATTTCTTATGTAAAGACTGAATGATCCATTAAATTTTTTTAATAACAGATTTTTCTCGAAATCATTCTGTTCCTCTCTCCGTGCACACAGTGATCTATTTCCAATTTAAAAAAATCATAGAACTGTAAACATTCGGCATTGCTCACAAGCTATCTGTCAAACTCCTTTCAGAGATTTTTCGGCTAAACACTATTGCATTCCTGAGGAAAATTTACGCCAGTATCCTTCTATTGCTAGAAAATTCCACAAAGGAAGATTTTCAATTATGGCAAAGCACACGAGGGCTATTTGCCTAAAGGCAGGGATGCCTTCGTGGAGGACTTTCTAAGGGAAACTGGTTCGTATACACGTTACATATGGAGAAAACCACGTAAACGCGCATGCAGCCAGCCCGTTCGCGGGATTCGAACCTATTTTAATATTGAGTTTAAGGCAAAAGTTATCCCGATTTGTTCATAAAAACCGTTCAAACTTGTATAACTTGTATAAACAGTATAACAAACACGAAAATGGCGATGTTGCTTGACTGAAAGATTGTTTTGAGCATAGTTTCCAGAATGTCGTATATTCTGATTATTTGGCAACTTCCTCTAAGATGTGAGGCAATATATTAAGTATATATTTTAAAAAAATACTGCTGCTAGTACAAAGTTAGATATAAAAAAAACTAATATTTTTTTTTTTTAGTCCAAAGGGATTTGAATCCCGAAGGACTATTAGTTTCGTTTTGGCATTTTGCGTCGGACTCATAAATGTCGGTTCACTTTTCAAACTCTTGCCACAAAATGTTAGAGTCCTGCATTATATTTGAAGAAATTAAATAATGAAAAATCTGCGTAAATGTATGTATATTTCTCGTATTGTGATAAAACAACGGTACATAGAGTCATCGAATTTTGCATAACGTAATCCTCCAACGAATATGAGCATGTGGAAGACCAAATTTGAAATTTGAAATTTGTTTTATGATCGATTTCCTATTTTTTAAAACTTTGACGAATTTTTGATTAACAAACTCAAGGATTTCAAAGCGAGCAATGGCAACGTTGTGCAGAAAAAACATTTTTATCTCCAGCGCGTGAGTCTCTGTATCGGAAATTCTAAAGATATGCTCGTTTTAAAACTACTCGTATTTTGCGATATTGCTGTTGTACTGGATCTTATGGTTTAAGTGTGAGGAACATGATATTTAATAAAGAAAGGTAACACACAAAATGTTAAAAAACGCCCCTTTGGACGTAATTTAAAATCTGAAACATTTCAGATTTTTTTTTTTTTTTTTTTTTTTCTTTTTAAAGTTCAAAGAGGCTTTGAACTATTGATTTCGTTTTGCGATTTTGCGTCGATTCACTACAAACGGCGAACCACTTTTCAAACTGTTGCCCAAAGTATTATCGCCCTGTGTTATATGTAAAGAAATTAAATAATGAAAAATCTGCCTAAATATATTTCTCGCATTGTGATAGAGCAACGGTACATAGAGCCATTGAATTTTGTATGACGTAATCTTCCTACGAATATGGGCATTTGGAAGGGCAAATTTGGAATTTGTTTTATTATCGATTTCCTATTTTGTAAAACTTTAACGAATTTTTTATTAACAAACTCAAGGATTTCAAAGCGAGCAATGGCAACGTTATACAGAAAAAAACATTTTTATCTCCAGCGCGTGAGTCTCTGTATCGGAAATTCTAAAGATATGCTCATTTTAAAACTATTTTACGATATTGCTGTTCAGCTGAATTTTATGCTTTAAGTGCGAAGAACGTGATATTTAATAAATAGTAAATGTAACATACAAAATGTTAAAAAAAAAAACCCTTTGGACGTAATTTAAATTCTGAAACATTTCAGATTTTCATTTTTTTCCTTCAAAATATTGCTGTTAGTCCAAAGTTAGGTCTAAAGAAAGTAATTTTTTTTCCAAATACTGCTGTTAGTACAAATTAATATATAAAGAAACTAACATTTGTTTCAAAATATTGCTGCGAGTAGAAAGTTATATATAAAGAAACTAAAATTTTTTCAAACTACTGCTGCTAGTATAAAGTTAGATATACAGAGCAACTAGTTGAAAATTTAATTTAAATCTTTGATTCAAAAATTTTTTATTTTGTTTATGATTTAGTTTCTATTGACAGTCTTGCTTTATAAAAACTATTGAATTTCCTTTCATCAAAAATGTACTGTTAGTATAATTTATTATAAAATTAACCAGAAATGCTTT